TACATACAGTGTTCTGGGAATCACTAAATAGATGCTGGGCATTTTTGATAGGAATGTTTTCTGAACGCTTCTATTCAGGGATGCTTTATTTGATAAGATAATAGCAAATTATGTTCTAAGCCAAAGTCTGTGTGGTTTTGCAGGCTCAGGTTTTGGCTGTGATGGGTCAGACAAAAGGAACTGAAAAGATGACCAATCGCATTGTGTCAGAAGAGACTGGATGCCTTGAATGTTATCGCCTCTTGTCAGCAATCTACAGCAAGCAGGAGCAGCACGACAAGGTGGAGAAGGACACTGTCTGGAGCTATTTGTGATTCATGGGTAGAAAATGGTGTGCATCTGAAAGATTCTCCGATTTGCACATTCATAAGACTGAGGAGTCTTTAATATCCTTATTTGACATATCCTATCTTCTAGGCACTTTTCACAGATAACCACTTAATTCCTTAGATTTCTATCTTGAAATAAAATTTTCTTGGCTTATGCTTGATATAAAAATGTTATGGGTTATTATTTCAGTTTGTTTTTAGTTGTATCTATTATGAAGAATACTCACATTGGTATGCTTTATTGTTTGCCATGCTTCTCCTAATACATTGTGTCATTTTTTCCTTATAAAGGGCATGTAAAAACCCTGTGAAGCAGATGAACCACTCTGTATAGCAGCTACTAACATTATCTCCATTTTAAAAATTACACAACCATTAAATCCATGAATTAATTCAACAAATGTATTGAATGCCTGTTATGTGCTAGATATCATGGGAGGCAATAGAAATAGAGTCATGTTAACAGAAGAAACAAACAAACAGAAGGACTGCACTCGGCCTCCCTGGACTCACAGTCCTGACAAAGGGCAGACTACACCAAATCAAACAATCACACCATGAGTTATGTAAAATTATACCTGTACTCAATCATGACGTGAAGAATGACATGGTCTCAAGAGAGCCAAGGGTAGTACCTTCCAGGCAAAGAAATTCTGCACGAAATGGCCCTGGGAAGACGAGACTATGGCCTATTAGAGGAACTGAGGATGAGGAGCCGGAGCACATGTGAGATGTAGATACAGGGCCGGGCCAAGTAGTTTGTT